GTAAATAAAACTAGTAATGATAGTTTGTTTTATTAAAAATTAATTATCAGTAGGGGGTTTTGTGGAGATTTTAGTAATTTCAATAGTTAAATTCATAAGTCAATTCAAGCTAGACCATCATGAAAAATCTGAAAGCACTTAATGAACATTTCGTCCTAGTATGAGACCAGAATTGCGCATTAATAATATTTAAAAATCATTTAATTAATTTTACTGTCTCAGGTTCAAACTTAACTACAACTGATACAATTTGGACAATTGTGTAGTACTGTTAGTCTGTTTCATTCTGAGTATGATTTATACTAAAGTATCTGGTAAATAAGTTAATTTGTGTAATCGAATTCATTTTGCAATACTGCTACTACTACTACTATTATTATTATTATTATTACTACTACTACTACTACTATGAGTTTGCGCCTAAATTTGTGTGAAATTAGTGAGAAACGTCACTTATATATATCGAAACTATGATATTCAATGTAATGTTTCTATTGTCTTTATAAAAAGAAGCCTAAAAACTCAAAACACCGCACAGATATTTACAATCAAAGTAAAGTGTTCGTTTTATGTTTCTTTGATTATATGGAAAATGGAAAATTATTTTATGAAACAACATAACGATTTTAATCTCTTTACTACTACACAAATTATATCAATATGTAGAGGGAAAATTATATATTAGACATTAGGGTCAGTTAATTAGTTAATGAATAACATAAAAGCTGGCAAATATATTTGTATAGGCTCAAATTGTTTCATCATATCAGAATAGAGAGATGAAATTATCAAACCAAATATCAGTACAATAGAAATAGTAATGGTTTTAGTGAGAGTAGGAAAGATCAAAAAACCAAACAGTATGATTCGAGGAGAATCAATGAGTCTAAGATGATTTTAATACTTAAAAACTAAAGGAAGACAAAAAAAATGAATACACTTGCTCCATTACAATCAATTCTGTGCTGCGTCGTCTAACGTCTCTAATAATTAATCACGATAATCATGGGGACTCCAACCACATAGTTTATATCCGTCAACATAATTTAATCTAAGTCAATGACTTTATAATATAGAACTATGGTAAATATATCAACAGTAAAAATGTGTGAGGAAACAAATAAAGAATGGAAAGGTGAATTATTCTGGTTGATATTTTGTGAATGGTTATAGAGAAGGTTTCCATTAACAATTTCGGTAATGTTTTTTTGAATATAAATTTTAAATCTGATTTATATTTTTTTGATTCTGATATCTTTTAAATCTGATAAAATAGTTACTGTGATAATGAGTGTTTTATATAGATTGATCTATTACTCTTGATGTAAATATGAGTCAGTTTGAGTTAACAAAATAATAGGAAGTAAATAACTGAAATACTGAACATTAAAGACCTGGTTTAACAATAATGAGTGATAGATAGGAATGAAAGTACATAGTATACTAATAAAACTACTAATGAAATTAAGGATCATGAGATGATCTCCAACATTGGTCCGAGATATCTGGTGCTATGGCATAGCATCATCATAAGTGCTGTAAGATCATGTATTCTGTACCTTCCTTCCTAGATTTTAAGTTTTAATATTACTTCTTAATAATTTTTAAATCCCGTCTTCAATGCTTAATATTGCTTACTATCATTAATACGTCGATTTTGCGAACATGATTGCTATTTATCATGTTAATTTTATCACCGATGCTGATATTACATAGAAAATTGATCTGAATCAAGGTACTGAAATTAGGTACTGCATTGATATTAAATGATTGACTGAGACATTCAACTCAAACTTCACCAATAGATAAAGAATGAATACATATGGATTGTTTTTGAATTATGTCAATATAATCTATTCATATGATTTAGGTAAATAAACATTGTCATTTGTCCAACAATATTTTAAGGGAAAAAGAATTAGCATTTATTGTTTTTAAAGGAATGGATCTAGTTGTATTTGACACCAAAAAAAAGGATAAATAAAATGAATATAAATTAAAAAACCAGGTGCAGATTTATTGTATCTAAGGTCAAGATACACACATACACCTGTTACCTATTTATATAAAGACAACATGGTTTTCGAACAAAATCAGTCAATTAAGGTTTCTCCAGAGTTTATTATTATTCAGTCAGAGAGAATATAAAACCTAAAGCAACTATGTATTCACACACCTTGTCACAACTTACATTAGTAGAACGAAGAGGAAATTAGTAAGATAACAGGCAGAGAGAGAGGAAATGAAGTTAAATATGAGAATCGTTACTAAAAAAGTACCTGATGATATCAAAGTATTAAGTGTGTGAAATAAAATTAAAATTGTTGGTAAAGGATCTAGAATGAAAATAACTGGAATGGTGTAGTAATATTATCTATCAGGTAAGTCCTCAGCACTACAAACTCTCGGTGTTAGGATCGTCCACCAAAATATCAGGATGAAGTGTAAACGTATGTGATGCATAACAAGGGTCTCTTAAGGGATTCGTAAAACTCTAATTCCAAACTAATAGTATACACCTGTTCCAGAATTGTGGAGGGTCGAATAGGGTAATTATCTATTTCTGCTAATAGACTAACATGGAACAGTATCTTCTGATGTTGGCTCACTACCTTGTGGATTAAAACTGTAGATCAAGAGCTAGGAGAGTGGTTCTCATGAGAAAATCACTTGAACCTGGCACTTGGATACCGTAGTTCAAACTATTAATATGATGATTGACAATAAAGAAAATGTTGTCCCATATGAATGCAAATTATATTCCAAATAGCAGAATTATATAAAGTATGCTATTTTCCGTTCCCAGTTTTATTAAATTTCGAATTTTAAACAAATAATAATGTATCAGAAAGGGTTTTTGTGGATATTATAGTAATTTTGATAATTGAGATCATAAGTCAATTAAAACTAGATCATCATAAAAAACCTCTAAGCACTGAACGGCCGTTTCGTCCTATCGTGAATACGTACTGATGAGGAATCCCACAATAGAACGAAACAGTCTGGCCAGTGCTTTCAGGTATTCCATGATGATCTAGCTTCATTGAACTCATGATCTCAACTATCGACATCATTTTCTATTATCAATGAGATCAAACTTGATTATTAATATTAGTTAATACTTATTGATGAATGTCTCTTTTTCGACTAAATCAAAACAAAACAATTACCACAATATCCATTATTTTCTCATAAATCATATGATTAGTAAGGAAAGATAAAGAAGTTTATGAATAAAGAAATTCTTTATAAATTATTGGTCTAGACAAATAATGTGCTTCAGGCCATCAATTGAAATTATATTACTCTAATCACTAATTATATATATATATGAGTTTTTAATAATAAATTTATTATATATAATATTAAATAGTTTATTTAATATGAATCAATAATGGTAAAGCTCACTACAATTAATAATAACCTTATATTGTAATAATTATAATATATTGAAAAGATATAGACTATGATGTACCTCCAAATGCCCTAGTACGGCTGAAAGTGGAAAGTATTAGCTTTCCCACTTGAAATAATCTCATATGGCCATACATATACAGTCCCACTCATTGCTTTCTCGCGATAGAGGTGTTGTTTATGAAATTCAAAGGATGAAAAGCGAATGCCTGGTACTTTAACTGGGTTAGTGGATATGGAGGATCCATTTAGGGGAGTTGGAAAACCCTTGATTTCAAACCTATAGTTCACATGGGCTCCAGTATCCTGAAGGAACAAACGGTATATGAACTAATCGTTAGTCACTGGCTACCATGGGACTGCTGCTCCTGACATTGCTCCCTTGCCTTGTGGGTCAGACTTTTAGGTCAAATGCTCCATGTGTGGCCTCGTAAGAAAACTACCTGCGTCATTATGGGCACATGGATGGCTTGAGTGATGCATATGTATTCGGTGCCCCCTTTGTACTTATATTTATGTGTTAAAATAAATAAATAAATAAATAGACTATCATGTTCATTAAAGAAAGGGATTTATATTTATTGATAATATAAAAGAGACTTAATGATATTGACATGATTTAACAGTTTTCCAGTTAATCAATATCAACTAGATATTTGAAGAAAAAAGGGGAAATTTAAAATTATTTGAATACGAACCACTTAAACATTATGCACAGCTTCAATGATTCAATAAAATTATAATAATTCAAACGACCTGATATATTTTAAAATTCCCATGAGACAAACAATAATCAATGACGTATTTATTATTTTAATATAAGAAACAGATAAAAGCTTTCAATGTTTTACTAATAAAAGCTTTAATTAATATATGTTTAATCTGGTTAGCATGGGGTTGTTGACCCCATGTCCAACTTTCCTCTTTTACATGGGCATAGAATCAGCAGTAACTGTAGATGGACTACAGGTACAGTTCTTTCATTAATACTTAAAATAAAGAGACAGTTAATTAATTCTAGAGTAGTTTTCATTGTTATTCTAGAATAAGATTATCGGAACTTATTTCAAATAAACATTTGGATGATTTTTAAAAAAATTTTAAGTAGGTAACGATAATGAAATCAATCAATTAACTAAAGTAACTGAAATAATACAGCAAAGAAAAAGCAGTGACCAGTGGAGTTCAACCAGGTCTGTTGTAAGATAGTAACTCAATGATGACAATGGTGGATGTGTCGCTCGATTTCGTAGATTAGTTGAAGTTAGACATTAACACCGTTTAATGCCGGCCGGCTCAGTAGTCTAGTGGTTAATCGCCTGGCGCGAGACTGGTCGGTCCTGGGTTCGAATCCCGCGAGGCGGGGTCGTGAGTGCGCACTACTGAGTAGTCCCACAATAGAACAAAACAGTCGTCCGGTGCTTCCAGGTCTTCCATAGTAGTCTAACTTCAATTATTGAAATTTCTAAAATCTCCACAAAACGCTTTCTGATAAAATTATTTTAACATTCAATAAAGTAAATAAAAAATTATTCAATACTTATATACTTAAATAACAAAACAAAATAACTACAATTATTACTTACCCCATTGTGTATTAATTTCCATTATGATTTTGTTTGATATTCCAAATAATAAATTTTACAACATCTCAATTGCTCATTTTTATATTCCTGTTTATCCTATTTATTACTCAACTAAGGTTTGATGTAAGTTTTTCTTTTTTTTTAATACAAAGTATAATTATAATTCTAAAGTCCACTAGTATTTGATAATTGACATTAAAATACAGAAACTAACTGTTTTATTTACTCATCACAATATGAATTAATAAACCTTTATATGAAATTTATACAGAAATCTTTTCTAACAATTTTCTGATTTGTCAGTTTATTAGCCAATCGAAATTCAGGAAGAATTTTAACCAATTATAAGCTAGATATTAAAGTTGGCGCCATTTACATTTTTCAAAGAAAGTTGTCAACAAAAATCGAGCTTGATTTTTTCTAAAAAATAAAGTATTATAAACTACTTAGGATTAAAGCATGACAGTTATTATATACTAAACAACAAATAGTGAAAATAGTAATTATTTATGATGTATATAAATGTATATTATAGTAAATCAACATATATAAACGATCAAAATAGTTATAGTTATACTTTATTTTTGTCTGTAATTCACCAATGTGGTTAGAATTAAAAGTTTTTTTATGATAGACTAAAATTATTAATATTGTTGATTTAGTCTTGTCATTAGTGTTTTTATAATGTCTATTATTACTATTATTATTATTATTATTACTATTATTATTATTATTATTATTATTATTATTATTATTAGTAGTAGTAGTAGTAGTAGTAGTAGTAGTAGTAGTAGTGGTAGTAGTAGTAGTAGTAGTAATAGTAGTAATAGTCTTATTATTATTATTGTTATGGCGACTGGTATAATACATCAGCTGTTATTCACTAAAATATGGCACATTATCATAATAAGAATGTGGGACTATAAACATAAATACACTCAGTTAATCCCCTATTCCCATATAAAAAATTAATTGTGGATTGGTTATGAAATGATGGTTGTTACAAGACAAAAAAACATGTAGTTTTTCTTTTTTCATTTGTACAAAAGGTTGGTGGGAATAAAACTTATAAAGTGATCCTAGACAAGAGGGTATTAATAAATGGGTATTTTATTAAAATAAATCGTGCATCTTTTGTTTATGTTTTTGGTTAATCTTCCCAAAGAAAGAAAATACTGTTATGATGTTTGATTTACAAAATTACACTAATTATTAAAAGAAAAATATTTACATTCTAGTAATTTAACTGACTGACTAAGTTTGACTATTTAAATATTCAATTAAATTACATGGAACCTTATGTCGAATGGTAGTTTGTTTTAGTTACTTGTCTTTCTAATGATTCTCATCAACAAAGCTATTTCTGGATTTTAGTCATTTTTTGAATGTCATTTTCACGTTTGTTGGCAATAAAGTCTAGTTTAGTTGTGGTTTTAGAGAATGATTGAGTTAAACTGGATAAAGATACATGATAAGATTGAAAAAAATAGTTTGTATCGTTTAGATTACCGGCTGATATTAATTAATTAATCACAAAAATTAGGAAACACTGGGTTGCATTCCATCCTGGTATGGGACTCTTTGACAGTGATCATCGATCACATCGGGAATTGATTCTATAACCCTTGAGTCTTTCGGGAAACCATTAATTTTTAAACAATTGAGTTGACATGCGGTAGCTGCACACTATAGTGTGTTGATTGAAACTAGAGATGCTAATCACTGAATGCCGACACAATGGTTTAAAGTTTAAGAGTTCGCTCTAAGATCCATCGGTCCTGGTATTGACCTAGGGTGATGTTGAAGATGATCATTTCTGAGAGGTTCCATATTAAGATAAAATAGCCATTCAAAGTTCCCCGGTTTCCAGTGATTGTCTATCTACAGTCAATTCATACTGCAACCTATGAAGTTCATTAACCTCTACAAACCTTATATACGAAGAATGGATTATACCGCTAGTTCACCTATATAATCTGAGTCCATAAGAACGTGACTGTGTTAGCTTACAAAAATGAGGACTGAATGTTAGTCATTGTTATCGAGTTCAATCTATATCTGTCTATTGTTAATCAGCTCGTTAATAACATGATAGCAAATTATATATATATATATATATATATATATATATATATATATATGTCAATTTCCGTGATGAGAACCGTTTGCCTCACAATAAGCATTAGTTGCCCGAGGTTTTCAATTTGTTATTCTCCGTCCCATGCATTAGTATTTATCAAGTCAAAAAAATTGAGAATTATTGAAATAATGTATGACGTCATAGACTATTGTTTCAAGTTCATTATAACTGGTTCTGTCCTGTTGTGAATTTCTAAATTCCTTCAACATTTGATGCTGACCTCATTAGTTTTACTGGAAACATGTAGCTGAAGGCGTTCTGTCACGCATCCACACCAGATCACAAGTGGGTACGTCGCGTTACTCAACTCTTCAACCGTTAGCCAGCATAGATTAAACACATCCCAATATATCGATAGCCTTTCAAATATATCTTCGAACCTATTCATTTTTGATTTAACCGGGTTAGTATACTTCGATTGTAAAAGTGTTACGTGTAAAATCAGTGTCAAACTCCGAATACCTGCAACGTTGTTAAATGCTTAGAACGTTTTACTAGAGACATAACTCTTATAGCACATACAGTTTACTTTGATCAAAGATATCTTTAATTGTAACTTGTAATGATATAATTTACTGAAATTTAAGTCAAAATAATGAGTTCATAATATGAAGATCTCTTGTGATAACTGCTTCATATTGGTTATTCTGTTGTCTCTTTGATCAAAGACCAAAATAAGTGAAACGTGATTAATACTCATTTCATAAATATTAAGTAATTTCATACACATAGTTTCCTTTATTATTTTAAAGAGAGCAAGAATGAAAATTTCTGTAGAATATTATGAATTCATTTTATTTCATTAGGTTCTCATCAGCTACTTACAACCTATAATATCGAAACTTGTCGGAGCGATAGCGTTCAAACGTCTAAAATTAGATTTATGTATTCAAAAAGAGACAATAACAAATCTTTCTTTACCCTGGTAACATTAAACCCCCATTTTTTATTTGTTACGTCATTCATTATTTCAACTCTATCTGAAGTTTAAATCACATCATTGTCATAGATTTCTTCAATTCATAACTGACTGATTCCAATTTATATCTTTATTACCATTAATCTGTTTTCAGTGGCCTCATTACATAATTATCTAGTGTTTGTTAACTCAATGAATTCTAATTACTAGTCCAATGTTCTAAAACATTCCCTCTCAAACTTTACTTCTCTGAAACAAAAGGTCTTATGACCTTATTAACTCTATTGAAATCTTCACTACATCATGATACATATATTTATCTTTAATCATCATCGTATACACATAAGTATGTCAAAATCTGTAATAACATTGATTTTAGGAATATCACAGGGTGTAAGCAACTGACGAGGACCTAGCAACATACAACAAATTCATATTATTCTACAACAATCTTCATTATTGTTCTCTTTAAATATTTCTAAACATATTCATAAACTGTATTTCATCAATTTATAAAAGACCTAATAAATCAATCAATAATTCGATTAAGATAGTCATCTGTATTGATATATAATATTCAATACTCATTGGTATGTTGTTGTATGCATCTGTATGTATTTATATATAATGATGGCATCTATAATATATATACATCATATGGTAGAGTAGTTTGATTTGACTTAAAGATCGATAAATAATGACAATTACATTTAATGATTATTATGTAAAGCATTTAAATACACAGTTACAATACTACACCTTTTTATTTATTGATTTAATCAAATGATCATGTCATTTATGTAATCATTTAAATAGATAGTTGCTATAAAAATAATAATAAATTAGTATATGGGTTGTGGAGAATATTAAGTTTTTGATTGAGATCATGAATCGATTGATATTAGACTACCGTCCTATTATGGGACTCCTCAACAGTGCTCATTTACGATCCCGCTCGCGGGATTCGAACCCAGGGCCTTCAGTATCGCGCGCGAACGTTTAAGCTGCTGGACCACTGAGCCGGTATCCAATGGTTGCTGTTAGACACTAACACCAATATTGGAAAGTCAACAAAGTATTATTGTATCTTTTTAATAGTTATTTAATTATAATATTTAATTTATTAAATGGGTTACCACTTGGAAAAAATGTGTTTATTTTAATAAACATGAGTTTTTATTGAATTATTAGATTGAAATATGGTAGTTGATAGTTTATACTTTCCATCTACTTTGTTTCAATGATAAACAAGTAGGATTTAATGGAGATGTAAAATCGAGGATTGATAAAGCAAGGTCTGCATTCCTACAATCGAAGAACATATAGAGTTTGAAACAACTATCAACTAATATTAAAGTGAGAATCTTCAATACGAATGTCAAGATAGTTCATTTGTATGAAGCTGAAAATTGGAGAACTACTACAATCATCATCAAGAAGGTACAAGTATTTATAAATCGTCTTCTTCGCACGATACTCAATATACATTGGTCGGATACCATCAGCAACAACCCACTGTGGGAGAGAACAGACCAACTTCCAGATGAAGAGAAAATTATAAAATGATGGAAATGGATAGGACATACATTACGCAAATCATCAAACTGCATCATGAAGCAAGCCCTAACTTGGGATCCTGAAGGTAAACGGAGAAGAGGAAGGCCGAAGAGCACACTGCGCCAAGAATTGGAAACAGACATGAAAAGGATGAATAGCAACTGAAAATAACTTTAAACTAATGTTCAGGACAGAGTTCGATGGAGAGTGCCGGTGGACGGTCCACTTGGGGTAAAAGGCGTAAGGAAGTAAGTAAGCTTCAAATAGAGTTCATTTATTTTTTGACAGGTAAAAATTGTCTTTTCGTTTAACGTTCAACATTACTGACCGTCTGAATGATTTATATTTGATTAATATAGTGTTTTGTAACTTAGAAATGAATTTCTTTAAAATGTGAGTATGATTTACTCATTAATTTTCTATGGTTCTACATATTTAAATGAATCAGTAATGCGAATTATGACAAAATCGGGCTAATTTATACAGTCGATTAATTAGATGGAAAACTATCACTTCTATCTACATTTCACATAATCTATATAATACACAAATTTATCCCTGATTAGCAACTAGTATGACGTATAATTGTAAAAAACCTCCTTTCTATTATTCTTCTGTGACACACAATGTAGTTTCTTGTAGGCAGTATTCATTTCTATTCAGTAACTTACTAAATTCAACTTATGACACACTTTTCAAATGATGATCGATCAATCAAACGATCATCATATCATTAAACATCACTTGTTTAAATCATGTTTCTGATAAAAACTCACATGATTATGATAATTCAATAACTGTTTTCTTAGTAAA